TATTCGTTTATTTATTTATTAAATGACAGCAGCTATTTATTTACTCATTTATTATTAGTAATATTAATTTACAGCTCAGCCATTTATTTATATTAATATGTTTATGTGTTACATATATATTGTAAGTACAATGTATTCATTTTGAAGCATGTTTCATGATATGTTTTTCCTTGAAGACGGTTCGAGCATGATCCGAAATGCTGAAGAATATGTATATAGTAACCTCGATATTCTGTATCATTCCTTAAAGTACTATTCGCATTTTGAATATTTATGTTCATATTCCGAAGAGCAAGAACATATGCATTCCGTATTTCAGTGCTCAATTTGATAATAAGGAGGTAGACTTTGTAATCGAATAGTAATGCACTAACCAGACAGCCTTAGCTGATGTTCTAGCAGATGTAATTTGCATGACTTATTTTTATTCGTAGCGTTTGGAAAATCGTGCATTTTGCCACATACCTCAGCATTAGTTCAGGGGACAAGAATCTCCATATGTTGACAGAATTAAACGGGTCAGCCGTAAGCCCTGAAGTACCTTACAGATAGCCAATTCCAGAAACAGTAAGCATCACTTTTGTATTCCCCGTTTCGATCATGCAGATATGAAAGTACTGATGCTGTTGTTAAACAAGAAAGTTAACCTTTTTCCTTTTGTTTGTTGTAAACATGCCTAAAATTTTCATAAGGTCTGTTTTTTGACGTATCTGACAAAACAGGATGAAAAATAATCGTGAAGAAGAAGATGAAGAGCACGAAGAGCAGAGAAATTTTTTTTGCTGTCAACGGAATGTTGTATTTTCAGTGGTGTCAATTGTCATCTTGCGTTCAAAATGCAAATGACGTAGAGTATGAGCTTAGCCAAAGTCCACCTTCTAGATGGGATGAAAAATGCTATTTTCTTGCCACTTCTTGATACCTTTAAAAGAAGTCGTCCCAGTTTCGTTCCATAGGTTGTCAGCTTTCGTCTCGTTTATAGAGGTAATCAGCAGGATTAAAGGGTTTCTGCATTCTTTCTTTGGTTGTAATGCAGTATATGTCTTTCTCTCCAATTTTCTATCTTGACTGCACCTCAGTGACTTAATGCCTCATTAACCAGCATTTTCGAGAAAGGTCCTTACAGTTGATTCGAATAAACGAACACCGTAAAAATTTATTCTTTCACAAATCAAGTGAGGACCTTTCGCAACTGATGCAACTTCATGCAGCAGCGAATAGTCTGTTAAGAATGCCAGACAGCAATGGTAGATCGCGAATAGAAACTTTAACCGTTCCGTGCAGTGCAAAGAAGGTATAATGGATGCAAACGGAAATGCGTGTTGTATTGTGATAAGCTCTGATTAATAAACCCTTCGCTTTACTTGTGTTTGCTTTGTTGTCGTCGTAACATTCTCGGTTTGTTTTAAGCCAATAACGTCTTTTCACAGGCTTTAGATTTTTTGACTTTCGTGTGCACAGTCGCTGGTCCTTACTCTGGATATGGCGGTGCCGGTTGGGCGACATTCGTTAGCATCGTCTCTTTCATTTGCACACTGACGTTGTTGATCATGTATTTTGTGCATCTCATAGAAATGCTGAAGCCAATTCCATGGCTTTTACTGGTACGTTTCCTGAAAGTACGAAATGAATGTGATTTTCTACTTAAATTGTAGGAATCTATTTATTGTGTCATATGGACCGTTTTTTACTTCATTGCTGCCATTGTTTTGGCGCATGCCGGGGCCGCATTTAGCGTTGCCGCCGCCTGGGGCGCAGCATCAGTAAGCACCCAATAACAATAACGCAAATTTATGCATTTCGTTTGGTTTTTTATCTATTATCTGTTCATTTCAGGATGTTTGATGGATACAGCTTCGTTTAGTTTGGTTTTGAAGTTTGATCCTTTTGCTTAGCGTCAAGCTTGGTAGTACAACCATTGCGTATTATTTAGTCATTAAAGTTTTTCAACTAGGTATAATGACTTAAGATAGTTCTAAGTGATAGTGATGTTGATATTCTCGCCGATTTATTGATCTCTGGTATGGCAAAGAATAACCTGGAGCGAACATATTGAAAGAATCGACTTCAAACTCAGATTATCGTCTGCCGAAGTTCAAACACTGACACAGGATCGAGAACGTTGGAAGCACTATGACGCGACTGTTTTCGTGATCGGAGAGAGTAAAGGTTCATCGAAATTAACTGACCAAATAGAAGAGCAACTGTTAATTGGTTAAGTTTATTCTTGGAGCTGATATTAAGAGTACTCAGAAACAACCTGTGGTATTAGGCAAGATACTTTTAACAATGGTTTAATGCTTTTGGTATGCGGCTAAGGCAGTGGAGAGTGCAGATGAATGATGTTCTAAGCGTCAGTTGCCTCATAAGTGAATTTTACCATGATGGCTATGAATAGCGACTCCTGAGTGTAACTCATCATGCCCGAGAAGACCAAAGTACTGTTCACCGCATCCTTTACAGTCGTGTGTTGTTGGTTCCGTATAATTGCACCAGCGGAGTACAGAATTGGGGCATCCAATTTTCTTGTACACAATTTGGGAATAAAGCAGATTTCAAATTATGATTTGTAATGGTGGTGTAGAAACTTGCCGTTGTTTTACAGGGACTGTTGCTATCCCAAGCAAGAATGCGCTTTGCGTACAGATTAACGCGGGCACTAACTGATTTTTAAAAGGAAGCATATTTTGTTTTATAACCGTGTTCTTTCTTTTCAGACATATCCATCAAGCTGTTGTCTAACTACTTTATGCTCTTAGTTTTTCTCGTTTGCGGCTATGTTCACCTATGGAGCTGACAGCCTTATAAAGTACGGCAGTTGGCGCAATGGCGAGTTGGCCCAAGGAGGAACAACTACTTCTGCTGTTCCCGGACGATGATACAGACTTTTGTATTGTTTTTATGGAAAAGCAGCCATTTGGAATTGCGGACTGTTTCGTATCGCGCGCTGAGCGCCTTTAACGTTTTATTCTTTTTTCGAATAGTAGTTATATTTACGCCGATTCTGATGGAGTAGTTATTGTTCTATGAAGTATGATGTTATGGGTGAAGTTTATCTCATGATTAGTTTGATCTGTTCATGTGCAACTTATTCGATGCGCAATAGTTTCTTTTTTCTGAATATAGTTTTAATGATTCGCTAGTGGCGCTTACTATTCACAGACTTGCAGTTGTTTGTGGAAGCTACCAAAGCTTATCATGTTACCAAAGATGATCGCTATTTAAATAACTCTTCCATTCTCTGTTAGCGAGAAAGTTTCCATAATTCTTTCGTGATGTATTACTCTAGTAAAGTTCACCGTTTCTTGTTGCCATTGTTTATTTTTGGTTTTGTGGTCGCTTGGGTGACCCTTTTCTTATTGCTTCGTTTCACACTCTTGTTACTGCTAATTTAAGAAACAGATGGTTCTGGATTACGTAAGTAATCGAATTCTGCTGAAGGAACTGTGCGTTCTTTCCTGTCAGTTTGTAAGTGGGACAATTTGTCCATCTCTCTGTTATCAGGAAACTACGAAGAGGCTCAGGTAATATAAAAATCGATTTTTCAGTATTTTTAATTTTGTAATATTAATGTATTTTTTAGGACTATATAATGTTTTTCTTTGAACTGTTTAGAGAATGGTTCATCTTATTTAGTCAGATGTTCCACCACTCTGACTTTTTGTACAGTTAAATTTAATTGAATTGATTCCATAGTTTTGGATGTCGATAAGTGATA